GCTTGTGTGCACTATGTTCAAATCGGGGGATCAATGTCCTGAAAAAAGGCACAGATCACTGAAGCACTCAGTTCTTCTTTGGGGGCATATGCCTGCCAGCCAGTAAATGCTTTGGTCCCAGGATGCTTCCTGGTTGTTAGTTTGGGGTTCTCTAATGTCCCTCTGCCAGATTGCTGGCATTGCCCTTAAGCCCAGCCTTTCCTGGTCCTGCCTACCCTTTCCAACATCCCTGCTGGGTCCCTAGACCGTACCCCCTTCTCCCAGCCTGCTTCCATGCTCTTCTAATCCCACTGGTTCTGAGTGGCCCAGTTGGCAGGAAAGGCCCCGAATCTGACCCCCACTGGAAGATGCAAGCCCAGGACCTTTGCAAAGTCTTGGATCCCCTATTCCTAATGCCATGTGTGTCACATACACTAGTGCCAGGTGGGTATGTACATGCTCATCCCAATGAGGAGGCTTTATACCACTTTGCACTGGTGCAAATGAGAACACATTGGGACAGCACCGATCCCACTGTGGACACACTTTGTACCGGCAGTGTCCTAGAGGGCTGTTTTCACCCCACAGTTAGGCTCCTTTATGCTTACAGAGTCCCAGCATGCACCTGAGCTTCCATCATGGACTCAGATTTCAGTGCTGAGCTAGGCTGGGCAGGCTGAGGGTGTTGTTTCTTCAGGGAAAGATAGCTGGGGTTTTTTGCAAAAATATTTATTTCTATATATATAAATATTAAATATAATATATATAAAATATTAAATATAATATATAAATATTAAATATTTATATATAACTATACCTCTAACAACCTGCCTTGTGACCACTGTGGTTCACTTGACGGTCCAAAACACAATTTTACAGTTACCATTCTTAGTCCTGTTACAAAGACTGCACTATGCACCCACAAGCCCGTACACCAACCCACGCATCACTGTCACCTTTAAACCATCGCAATTATGCAAAGAACTACCTCAATCCCCTCCCCTCTCCCTTCCCCCACTTCCCAACCCCCCTTCCTGTTTTTCCAGTCCTTTCACTTGTCATTGTATTCATCCTCTTTTCTGTTGTCTTCATTATCCTCATCATCATCCTTGTCATCCTCAGTGTAGTTGTATGCACAGGCACCCAAGGGAAGGCAATAAATGCTGTCAGTGGAGAGAAAGCTCCAGCTGATCCCAGACAGGCTGGCTATCCTTGGACAGCCAGTATGAGCACAGGGATCTTGTGTTTTCATGGGCATTGGGGAAAGTTCCTAGCTTCTTAGGAACAGTCTTGGCCCTAGCAAAGAGTTGGGGACAATTGCCTTTAGCATGGTCCTTGTACCCCTGGAGCTGGTGCAGTTGCAGCACATCTGACCACAAGCAGTACAACTAACTGTCTATGAGGTGTGGCCCTGATGACATGGGAGCTGCTGGCTCTGGCTCAGTAGACCAGTGTACTATTTTGGGTTCAGCCACAGAACAGAGGTGAGACTGTTGGATGAGAAGTGTGACCTCAGCGTAACATGGCCTAGGTTCCATGATGGAGGGGTTGGGCAAGGCCTGCTTCATGAGAAACCTCCTTTTGGGAAAGGGGGTGTTTGGAGCCTGACTCCTGCTCCTCCTGCATTGCATGGTCCAGTCCAAGGGGCTCCTGGTCTCTGTGAGTAGGGAAGGGCAGCTTTGAGCTGGAAGACAGACTTGCCATGTCTCCTCCATGGCACCTTCCTCACTCCCTGAGGTTCCCTGTGGTTTGGCCCTGGTGTGGAAGCCCAGAAATCTTGGTGGGAAGCAGCCATCTTAGGCCCTGGATGCTGCACTTGGGAGGTGTAGGAAGCAGAGCAATATGCAGCCCTGAGAAGAAGACACCACACCTGGGCTGCCTGCCCTGGGGTCCAGCCTTCCACTCTGGCTTGCACTAAATAAGACAGGCCTGAAGAAAACCTGCCCCATCTTCTGCTGGGCCCTTGGGTAACCTGCAGTTAGGCTGTCCTGGAGCTCTGCTTCCTGCCTTTTCCACCATGGGAATTTATGATGCTCTCAGCAGCCCATCTGAGGATGCTCCCAGGTCTCTATTACAGGCCTAATCTCGGACCCAACAAATAATAGGATGTGAAAAACTGGCAGGCCCAGATCTCGGGCAGTCCTTTCTGCTGAACTTGAGGGGGAATTAGACACTGGAGGCCTCAGTTAAAGACCCTGAGGACAGTAATGCCCAGTGCAAGAAGCCTGACTTTTCTTGTCAGTTTGTAAAGGGAAGACAGAGAGAGGGAGAAGGTACAGCATTCCCTGGATGAGTACAGCTGGGCTCTTGTGAACTAGCCCTGGTGGGTCGAGAATCAGCGAGTAGGGTTTCCATCAGGAGATCTGACAAGTGTGGCCGGTCCAGTGGTTGGGGCCTAAGCCCAGAGCTCAGAAGATCCTGGCTTTTTTCCCTGCTCTAGCACAGATTTCCCATACAGCTGTGGGCAGGCTCCATGGGTATCAGCACATGGTAGCACAGCTGAGGTAACAGCATGGGCCAATGGAGACTGGTAGTTGGAAGTTTGGTAAGGGGGCAGTAAACAGCCCTCAGCCAGCCAGTGCAACATTACAGATGCTGAGGGACCTGCGCTCTCCTGTGAAACATATTTATTGGTGCAGGAAGGCACTTCCCTCTGCTCTGGCAATAAGACCCACGTACACATACACACCCACACCCAGTCTGACCCCTTGGCACTGTCACAAATGCAGTGTAACTGGGAATCAGGCCCCACATGTCCAATCTGAGCTCAGCCTGTGAGCAGAATGTGCACAGTGGGGGACAGGGGAGGAGTGACTTGAATGAGTACAGAGGCAAGGGAGACTATTGGTCCTTTACTGCCAGATTTCAGCGTGGGAAAAGTAGGAACTTAAAAATGCATGCGTGCGTGCGTGTGTGTGTGTGTTTGTGTGTTTGTGTGTGTGTGTGTGTGTGTGTGTGTGTGTGTGTGTGTGTGTGTGTGTGTGTGTGTGTGTGTGTGTGTGTGTGTGTGTGTGTGTGTGTGTGTGTGTAAGGACATGCCTGAGTGCATGTGTGTGCACACATTCAAGTAACTTTGTGTACCTGTGCATACATGTAAGTGCTTCCAATTATTCTGGGCTGTTCACTGTTTCCTCCACAACTCCTGAAGCCTTCCAAGATGCTTGGTGCTGCTTCAGGGTTTGAAAAGATGGGCACTGAGCAGGGGTGAAGGCGGGGAGGGAAGATATTGGCATTGCAGGACAGGAGTGTATGCACTGGGTAGGATACCAACAGAGGTGGGAAGACAGTGAAGAAAGGGAAAAGGGGGACCACAGAGCAAGGGTGGGGGGACCCACTTCTCTGTAGACCCTGCTCCTCAAGAGGTACAATGCAGAATGCACAAGCTGGGCAGGGCTGACTGAAGCTCCTTCCTATCTCCCATTTATTGGGCTACTCCAGGGGGCTTGGGCAGAGAGTAAATGTAGGAGAAGCAGACAACGTGGTCCAGAAACTGGGCTGGAACTCAGGAGGGCTAGTTTGCTTCTGGATTTGCCCTGTTCCTGACACATGATTTGGGGCAAGTCCCTTCCCTGCCTCTGCTTGCTTCCTCCCCTGTCCCCAGGTCAGAGAGGAAGCTTGCAGCAAAGGTGGCAGCAAGGGTCAATGGCACAGAAGGCATCTTCATAGTTGGTAGGGTCGGAAGGGACCTGAACACATCATCAAGTCTGGCCCCCTGCCATGGGCAGGAAAAAGTACTGGGGTCAAATGACCCTGGCAAAGTGTTTGTCTAGCCTCCTTTTAAAGACCCCCAGGGTAGGAGCTAGCACCACTTCACTTGGAAGTTGGTTCCACATCCTAGCCGCCCTGACAGTGAAGTAGTGCCTCCTGATGTGTAATCTGAATCTACCCTCTGCCAGCTTGTGACCATTATTCCTGGTCACTCCTGGTAGTGCTCGGGGGAACAGGGACTCGGGGGAACAGGGACTCCCCCAATGCCTGCTGGTCCCCCCTGACTAGTTTGTAACTAGATCCCCCCTCAGCCTTCTCTTGTGGAGGCTGAACAGGTTCGGGTCCCTTAGCCTCTTCTCGTAGGGCCTGCCCTGCTGCCCCCTGATCATGCGAGTGGCCCTCCTCTGCACCCTCTCCATGTTGTCCACATCCCCCTTGAAGTGCGGTGCCCAGAACTGGACGCAGTACTCCAGCTGCGGCCTGACCAGTGCCACATAGAGGGGGAGGATCACCTGCTTCGACCTGCTCGATATGCATCTGTGGATAAATGACAAGGTGCGGTTGGCCTTCCTGACTGCATCCCCCCACTGCCGGCCCATGTTCATCTTGGAGTCAGTGATGACTCCAA